CTTTACCTCTGCCAAATCAACCAATCCATGTCCTGATCTGATGGGAATCTAAAACTTTACTCTGGAAACTCACATAAAAGCTCATAATGCTGATGGAGTGGTTCAAGCGATAGAGCACCTGCCTAGCAAGTGCCAAGCCCCGAGTTCAAACCCCATACCACCAAAAAAAAGACAAGAAAAGATTTCAAGGCCATGTCTCATGGCCAAAATAAAACAACCCACTAAGAAAATAAAGGGTCTCTTTTGGCTCACTAGCTAGTCTGAGTGAGCCTGACCTTAACCTTCGATGATTTTGATAACTCCCTTACCCTTGACTTCACTGTGTTTGAAAGGCTTGTGACAAGAGGGAGACTCCTTTCAACTTACTGGATGAGAAGCAAGGATCCAACTTGTTTTTCCAAAGTTTTTTTTAAAGTGATATATTTAGGGTGCTGCAGAGAAAGAATTGGCCAGTTCTTTATTTATCTTCCTAACAGGTGCAGTACGAACAGTCACAAAAGCACGCTACTGAAAAGAATAATTCTGCCAAGTATATATAAGTCTCTCCAGGGTGCCTTTGCCCTGGAGTATTCCTTCTTACCACACAGAGCTCAAATCTACACAAGGATCTCCCATACAGAAAAGCAAATAAGATTGTGGTATTCATTCATACAACTTCTTTGTTTGTCTTGCTATGTAGCCCAGGCTGGCCTCGAACTCAGAAACCTCCTGCTTCAGTCTTCTGAGTGGTGGAATTACAACATGTACCATCATGCCCAGCAATAAAGCTTCTTTGTTCCTTATCCAAGTCTTCTACTTGGCTTCCATGAGCCATTTGAAATTAGGAGAAAAATAAGTTGTCCTTGATCAAATGTCTCCTTCCTTCTCTCTTGTTCTTTTATCTTATTTCCTATGAATTACTAACTTTTCCTCAATTTGAGGTAAAAGTACTATTCTGTATATTAGATGATTTTGCAAAGACAAATTTATTTTGGTGCTTCTAATAGTCTATCTAACCCCATCCAGGTAAAAACTGAAGGTCAAAGAATGAACATGAAAGGAAGGCTTCCCTTGGCCTTTTTTGATGATGACTAAGTCTTGAGTGATGTTCAGAAATAGGCAAGAGATGAAGGAAGGGTGCCATGCTACATTCAGATAGGCTTGGGGAGAACATTAAAATGTGATGGAATAAATAGGATGGAAAAAAGACAGACTCCCTTACCATTCTCCCACCTATTATTCCTAGTGAAAAAGACCAAGATAGATATTGTATGTCGACACAGCAAAAAGAATCTGTAGCCACACACCATGGTCTTTGATTCCTGAAGTTATCAGAATGGTCTTTAAAATTATACTTATAAATAAATCTGTGTTTTTCCCTGTGTCTGGGTTTTCAAGAAAGAATCTTACATGGAAGAAAAGAAAACTAGAGTAACTCTGAAAGGTTTTTTGTATGACACACAAGCACCAAAGAAGAACCATTGCCTTTTTCTGACCAATTAAGTACATACAATATAATAGAGCTGACGTATACCATAACAAAAAGTGAAATTCACGTTCAGGTCTCAACTCATGTTAGAAGAGACTTTTTCTGGATTCTGTAGAATAGAAGTCTCAAGATAGTCAAGACGCAGAGACAAAATTCTTAGAAAATAGATTTTTTATGGGTTTAAGAGCCATTCATAGTATTTTTTGTTGTTGTTGTAGTACTAGGGTTTGAACTCAGGACCTACATCTTGAGCCACTCCACCAGCTCTTTTTTATCGTGATTTTTTTTTTTTTGAGATAGGTCTTGTGAACTATTTGCCCGGGCTAGCTTCAAACTGTGATCCTCCTGATCTCTGCCTAGGATTACAGGGGTGAACCACCAGTGACTGACCATTCATAGTATTTTTAAGCTAATAGAAATGCTACCCCCAGAAGAAAGGCTATTGCAATTTTCTAATTTTATATTGATAAGGTTTCTTTTTGACTGAAACAACAAAAAAAATTTCCAGTGAAAGTTTGTTTCCTTACACAGTAGGACCCAAGGCACAATTAACTGTGATGGCCTTCAGAAGCTGCCTTGTATTTGCGTATGAAATCCCAGCAACCAGCACACAGTAGGTGCTCAACTAATAGTTGATTCATAAATGAATGCACCTGCAAAGAATTCTGGGAGATTCCCACAAATCTGAAGCTTCTTTCTACATCTTTTCTCACCATTTGGTTAGGATAACTTAATTGATCAGGCCTCAGGTTCTGCATAAATTTAAGCGTAAGACCTATTATGTAAAATTGATGGACAAATAATAGAGTTCTCCAAAGAATCCATATGCAACTGGTGAAAATGGAGAGTAAGACACTGGGAAATTGTTACTCCTTAAAAATAAGAGATTCTTGCTAGAGGTGTAGCTCAGTGGTAGAGCATTTGCCCCATATGAGTAAAGCACTGGGTTTGAATACTAAGAAAAAAATAAATGTTTTCTTTTTCCAGAGGGGGTCAAGGCTCTAAATAAGGACTGATGACTAAATACTTCCATTAGACTTCCTTCTCAAGGTCTAAAGTTACACCTGCCCTCTTCCTGCTCCTTAAAAGGACCAGCTCTCCCAAGATTCAGCATGAGACTCCCAGAGCTAGGCCACTCTAGGTTGGGAGGTGGCCAAGTGAGACATCCTTTGCACCCTCAGGTGCTGAAAACTCAGTCTCCTTTGAACAGTTGCCAAATCCTACTGGATCCTGGGAGGGCCAAACCAGTCCCCAGAGCCTATTCACAGCTAGTAGTCCTGCCCTTCCAGGGCATGGTTTCCCACTGGGAAAGAGAGGCAAGAAGACCTGTTGGGATGGAAGTCCCTGCTCTTTGTTTTATTCTTGGGGCTTTGTTTGAGAGGGAAGATTGGAATAGAACCAACTCCAGTAAAAGTGAAATCTCAGCTAAGAGAAGGTGCAACCTATTCATGATCAGAATAGTTCAGGAATTGTCACATTTATTGGTATTCTGATGTAAAAAATAGTAAATAGCCATGGTTTCACTAAAGAAAACTCTTCAAGGTACAGTTCCTTTAAAAATCAGTTCCGCTACTAAGAGAACAACAACAACAGAAATCTCTGTATTTCCTCAATGGATTTAAAATATATGCTAATCTCTCTCTCTCTCTCTCTCTTTCTTGTTTCCACTTCTTATAATCCAAATTTAAACTAACCAAAAAAGTCTATGGGTATAAAATTACTGTCCTGGGTGGGGGGAACTCCTACACAGAATATCAACAGTGCTTTTTTTGCAAAAGCTGTTCATGGAGGCTTTAGTGTTGTCAATGCTGATTTATTCAAAAAGGAAAAAATACATAGAAGAGGACTGAAGTGAAAAATATATTTTCCTCCTTATTCTCTCTAAAAGTAGAATGAATCAGATTGAGCTAGCATCAAAACCAAACTTCATTGCATCTAGCATTCAAAATGATTTAACTAGCCTCATAGACTCTACAGCCTGTCATCTTATTTATTTCAGCTTTCTATCATTCCTAATTAGGCTTTTCAACAACAAATGCAAATTCATCCTCTAAGTTCAGGATTATTAAAATAATATTCTGTTTTCAGTTAGGAAGCATCAAATGCTTTCTATCCAGGCAAGCCTTGAAGAGGCAAGTCAAGTGACAGATCAAATAAAAAGGACACTTAATACACATGTAAATCATTTGCATTACAAATAAGACACTTAGGTGGAGGCTGGACTCACTGCCCCAGAGTCAGGATTAAGTTCCCATATTAATGCACGCATTTGGTGTGGTTATTTCGGGTGGAAGACTTCATCCATCAATGCCCTCCGCCACTAAGTAAGGCCAACCTGTAAACTGATCACTAGGGCCTGTCAGCACTGGCTACTTAATTACATAAAGAAAATATATTTAAAACCCTTTTGAAAACTTGGTTAGTATTTCAAGTTTTGGCTTGACGTGGAACATCTTTTGCAAAGCTCTTCAAAATAATAGTTAAAAGCATCTTTTAAAAATTACAAATGAAAAGACTAAATATTGTTTTTATGTTCTTTGCTTATCTTGTGTGTGCTTTTATTTGCAGAAATGAAAAAGAAAGATCCAGGAAGCATGAATGATGTGAATGAAATGATATTTGAAAAGGAAATTTCCTTTAAAAATTAAAGTCAATACTGAGTTCAAACCACAGTATCCAAAATAAAAAAAAATTAAAGTCAATGTCTTTGTGCTATGGATGTGTATTTTTTCATTCTTTATTTTCGCAATCATTTTCTAATTTATATCATTAATTAGTAACTTGCAAATACTGGTTTTTATAGAAAAGAACTTTTTATTGGGAGGAAACATTTCTTCTACTGAAAAATATTTTATAGTTTCAGCTTGATTATATTTAAAAGGCTACATATTATGAAATTATATACAATAAAAGAAAGACCACAAACTATCAATGATATATAGAGACATTTTCTTTTCATGCAGGAATTTGATAAAAAGCTCCAGAATCACTGGTACATGTAAAAAAAAAAAAAAAAAAAAAACCTCTCATCTATGTATTTTAAATGTCTTTCTATGAAAATTACAGAAAATCTGGAAATAATGTCACAAATTCTTTTTCAAAATCTTGATCAAATTTACTAACCATTTGAGAAAGCCTTCCAAGCCTGCAGCCCCCATGAATTGCAAATACATGGTGAAAAATTGAGGATCAAACCTAAGAAAACAAACTTGAAAATATAATCCACTCACCATGAGCAAGTAATATCTTTGAGTTGTACTTTAAGGATCTCTTGCCATTTGAAATGATAGGATTTACATATAGCCATTGTATCAATATTCCTTTATTCACTATCATTATCAGATATTTCCCAGTTCACAATAGCCTTGCTGTATTTTTCCTTTGGTCTTTTTTATTACTTTAAAGGAGCTTATTCTTACTTCACAGTGATTCTAGTCTATTTAAGACGTTGCTCATGTGTTTGAAAATCAATACCAAAATAAACACACTCTATTAAAAAGTGTAGCATAAAAGATGTCTGGCTGAGTCTTACCCTCTTTCTTGGTGGGTTCTGGCATGATCGCAATAAAATGTTATTCTCCAAAGAGTTTTCTTTCCTCCAGTTGACAGAAACCCCAAGAGCAGCTGACAGAGGGTGCAGGTCTGTGTGACAAGCAGTTGGGGAGATGTCCAGTGCTTTTATATGGCCTCTGCATATCAATCATGCTGGCGCCTCCCTTTTTCAGGGCAAGGATGCTGGAACTTGACAGCCAGGGGACCTTTCTCACATCTGTTGTCTGTGCTCTGCTCTCGCCTACTGGAAGGAATCTCCTGTCCATCTCATGTGGCTGATGAGAACACCTCTAACTTTCTAAATTCAGCTGCAGCCTCGTGTTCTGTCGTTCTCTTCTTTCTCTGTCTAACAAATTCAGGTGCCTGTTCAAGTTTGCAAAAAGTTTGCCTAATGAGAAACTAATTAAAATCATGATATGCTACTCTGATTATCTTAATTTTCACTAAGATTAGAAAAAAATCTCTGTATGCAGACAGTAAATTTCTGTTCCCCTTAACTGTTAATTCTCATCAGTTTTTAATTACTAAGATTAAAACTTTTGTGTCGTGTTAATATATCAATATTAATTTGTCACATTTCTAAGTTGAATATCTCGTTTCATTTTCTTTGCCAAGAATAGAAAGGTTTCTGAGCCGGGTGTGATGGCACACGTCTGTAATTTCAGTACTCAATAGTCTGAGGCAGGATGATTGTGAGTTTGAGGCCAGCTTAGGCTACATAGTGGGACCCTACCTCAAAAAAAAAATTACAGTGTAAATAAAAGAATGAAGCAGTGATATATCTAGAACCTGGATAAAGCTTATGCTGAGTGAAAGAAGCCAAACACAAAAATAGACTATAAAATGATAAATCACCTATTCTTCAGTTTCATTTATATGAAATGCCCAGATAGGCAAATCCACCATTAGAAAGTAGATGAGTGTTTGCCAGGGGCCGGAGGATTTGGATTTATGCATGACTGCTCATGGACAAGGTTTCTCTTGAAAGCGTTTTGGGATTAAACAGTGGTAATGGTGGCACAACTTGGCAGCTATATTAAAACTCCCTGAACTTTACACTCAAAAATAATGTGAGGTAGAGCACCTGCCTAGCAAACGTGAACTCTGAGTTCAAACCCCAGTACTGCCAAAAAAAAAATAATAACAATAATGTGGGGGGTGAGCTAAGAAAGTCATCCAAGCCAGAAGCCATTGGTCTGACTTACAATGGTGAACAGGCACACAAATATAACTTAAGGTATTTGTAGAATGTTTCATATTTGGCCACTTTCTCCCCAAACTCCCATGGAACTGATGGAGAAGCATGAACTAACCAAGGGCCAACCTAAAAAGTAACCTTATGTTACAATAGATGCCCATGTGCCTTTATTGGCAAGTGTGTTTGATATAATTTTCAAGGGACTGATTGGTTTGTTCTGAACCAGCCACACTGACTTGTTTGATCTCCCTTGTGACTGAGAGCACAGCTGGTCAGACTGAGCTCTACCAAACTCTGTGCCAAGCTAACTTTTCATATAAGGATGGAAACTCAACTTAGAACTCAATAGCATCATGCTTTAGCTATGTGGGGTGAGGGGAAGGCAGGCCAGACAAGACAGTTGATGACCATCAACTGTAAAGAAAGACTCTTCGCAATACCACTGAGCATAGTATTTGCTTTTAAAATGAATTATTGTGCTCTTAAGTGCTAAAAATTAAGTTAACGTCAATCAGAAAACAGTATATGCTATAATACCAAGTTAGCTGTGGCTTGAAAAAAAAGAAAAATAGCTTTCCTGGGTCTACTATGCAAGTGTCAATTAATAGATGATACTAGAGGGGCACCAGTGGCTCATACCTGTAATCCTAGCTACTTAGGAGGCAGAGACCAGAGAGAATTGAGGTTCCAAGCCAGCCCCAGAAAAACAGTTCGCAGACCCTATCTCAAAAATACCCAGCACAAAAAAGGGCTGGTGGATAGCTCAAGGTGTAGTCCCTGAGTTCAAACCCTAGTACTATACAAAATTAAATTAAATGAAAAAAATAAATGAAACAAATGAAAGAATCTACAATCTGAAGTGAGACCCTTGAGTTTTATTCTGGATTTATAAATCAACTGAGTTACTCCAAGAAATTCAGGCAGCCTTTTTGGGCCTCAGTTTCCTCTTGTGTAAAATGAGAGGCTTAAAAATGAGCTCTGAGGTCCCTTCTGGCTTTAACATGTTATATGGAAGTCCCTAAAAAAGAATAACTTTTTCAGCATTCCCAGCACACTGAACACTTCATATGAAATGGTCAGAGGGCCAGAGTGTCATATTGCAGAAGAATGTTTATAGTGATAGGCAGATGTCACACATGCCACAAAAGAAGTGCCATGCCATCTTTGGCTTCTGCAGAAACTCCACGGGTTTTTAATACACTGATCGTTTTACTGAAGTGAACACATGCTAGGAAGTATGCAGTCCTTGGGGAAAGTATTTTATAATGGTGGGAACATTTTTGGTAATAAAGAACGTGGTTATATAAAGAAAACATTGTCAGAAGAATTGGAAGGATGGCAAATTGTAGGATGAAGGTTGAACTGTACATCAGAGGGTTAGTGTAAAATTTTAAATTAGGATAAGTAGATCTGTAAATTTTCACTCTCTTAGGAAGGGGGAAATGGTTAACAGGACTTTTTATTTTTCCTTTTGCTAAGTGCTTTATTGGGCTTTTTCTTTTTGTGTTATAGTGAGGATGAAGTTTGACTGATGATAACACAAAATCGCAAAATATTAACATTGGTTCAAGACAGAAGTATTTCTTGCTTACATAAAACACATCCAAAAGTAGACATTTCAGACTTGTCAGAAGCCAGGCTACTTCTTGCTATACCATCCACTAGGTGACCTCACAGTCTAAAATGCTTCTAGCCAGGTGTGCTGACATAGTGCTTCTGTAGTCCCAGCTACTGAAGTAGGAAGATTGATTGTATATAAGAGTTTGAGACCTCATCCTTCCTCTCAAGATTTAATTAATTTAAATAAACAAAAAATGGTTTCTAGTACACTAACCGTGACCGTCCTCTTCCTGGCAGTAGGGACGGAAGAAAGGGAAAGAAAAGGAAAGGAAAAAAAGAGAACTCACTTTGTCCATTTGAAGAGACCTTGACTGAAGCCGGGTGTAATACATCTGTTGCATCTTGTGGGCCAGGCATGGCTACATTACCATATTTGACTACAGAAGCAGTTGGGAAGTGTAATTTTTTGTCGTCCCCGGTAATGGGCTCAGATAAAAATCTGTGTCTTCTTCCTAACGAGAATGGAGAACGAATAGCCATTGTCAATCTCTGCTACACCTTTCAAAATAAAAACAATAATGTCCCCAGCATCAACTAAAAGCGTGAAGTCACCCTCTCCCAGATCTCACCCACACTCCAAGGAGTGAATTTCAGTCTACCTTTCCTTGTGTTCATACAAATACACGCAGACTTAGACAGTTGTATGTTGGAACTTCTTCATCTACTTTACATCTACCACTACACATCACTCTTCAACTTGATTTTCATTTAATCTGTCATCGATGTCCCTCCAGGTTTATATATATGTAGGTCTAACTCAATCTTTTTTTTTTTTGGTGAGACTGAGTTTAAACTCAAGGTTTCATGCTTGGAAAGCAGGCACTCTACCACTTGAAGCACACCTCCAGTCCATTTTGCTCTGGTTATTTTGGAGATTTGGTCTTGAGAACTAATTGCCTGGGTTGGCCTGGAACCTCAATTCTCCCCATCTCACCTCCCCAAATAGATAGGATTACAGGTGTGAGCCACTGGTGGTTGGCCCAAGACTCTTTTTAAGTAAAACACAAAATACAGACACTACAGAGGGAAAAAAATGACAGATTTGAATGAGCAAAAGTTTTAAAATTCTTTTACATCAAAAACATCATAAAATAAAAAAGTAAAAATAGGATGAATAATTACTGAAATGGACAGATGTAATATCACAAATAAAAATAGTTACTATGCCAGGCATGGTGGTGCATGCCTGTAATCCCAGCTACTAGGGAGACAGAGATTGGGAAGACCTACGCTTGAGTGTAGAGTAAAAGTTCATGAGATCCCATCTCAATCAATGAACTGGGCACCTGTGATCCTATCTACATGGGAGGTTTAAGGTAGCTGGCTCAAGGTCTGAGGTTGGTCCCAGACCAAAAAAAAAGTTAATACAACTAATTTAAAAAAGATGATCCTTGATTTAGGATGGGGCTCCATTCTGAAAAATCCATCGTCATTTGAAAATATCTTAAGTGAAAACACATTATATACTTACCATCAAAGCTTAGCAACACGATAGATGGTAGGTATTGTTTCTTGTCGGACTCATGTGGCTGACTGGAAGTTTTGGCTCACTACCACTACCCACCACCACTTACTGCTGGTCACTTGCCCAGGAAAAAAATAAAATTCAAACTTTGAAGCCACTATGTTGGTGCATACCTATAATCCTAGCATTTAGGAGGCTGAGGCAGGAGGATGGGAAGTTTGAGCCCAACTTTTGAGTTTTTCTTTTAAAGTGATTACATACAGGATATGAGAAAACAGGCAGTGCTACACATCGTTGATCAAACTGTTGGATTTGTGATCTTTTGGGAAAGTAATTTAATAAAAATCTATTAAGATTTTAAATTCTATTGGCCTGGCAGAGTGGCACAAGTGGTAGAGCACCTGCCCAATGGGAATCAGGCCCTGAGTTCAAACCCCTGTATCACCAAAAAAAAGAGAAATGTTTTAAACACAGAAAGCTTACTTTAAAGAATTTATCCTACTAATTTACATATCTATATATTAAAGTTATAGTTCATTTCCATTCCTAGTAAATATTTTTATCTGATCTCTTTTCATTAGTAAAGTTGTTTTTCCTCCCAATCTCAGGTTCCCAGTAGCTAGGATCACAGGCATGAACCACTTGGGCCCATTTGATTTTGTTGTTTTTGTGGAGTTTGATTCTTTCCTAACCTTCATTTGGTTATCCAGTGAGACTTATTCTCTCTCATAGTGTCATAGCTGTGTTTATCTTCATCTTCTCTGTGTAGGATTCCTTTAAGTATCTTCTGTAATGCTGCTTCATGGTCATGAATTCTTTTTGTTTTT